CTCATACACAGAAAATAAAAATAAATAAATAAAAATAAAATATTAAAAAAAAATCTTTGTGCCTCTCATTATCAGTCATGAGAATATTAAATCGATCCAATTTGTTGTTGGGTTTAATTGAAAGTGAATAGTTCAGGGCTTTTAAATTTATTCATAGGGGACCACTGATTGTAGAGCAGAGAAAAAATGTTCACTATACCAGGCAATATTATGAATATACAAAATGGGCTAGACTCAAGAGAGAGGAGAGAGGAGTCCTCCCAGAGACTATTAGAGACAGGAAGGGTCTGCACAGAGTGGTGGGAACTAAGATTTACAAATGCTTATTGAACGTTGGAGAGGGGGCACAGTGGTTAAGAACATTGGCTGCTTTTGCAGAGGACCTGGGCTCCGTTCCCAGAACCCACGTGACTGCTAACAACCATCGGTAACTCCCCGTCCAGGGGGAATCCAACACCCTCTTCCGACCTCCACAGGAGTTGCATGACACAGGGGCACCTACCTACATGCAGGCAATACACTCATACACATAAAATTAAAATAAATAAAATATAAAATACCAAAGGCTTATTGAAAATAAAGCTAGGACAATGTAAAAAAAAAAATGTGTACTTCCAAGAATAATAAACACACTACTAAACTGATCCGTGTGAATGCCAGAGAAGGGTGCATGCTGGTGTCCCTGATCTTGAGCACAGAATAAAAGGGCAACCCTTACACTGGGAGTTGTCATCAACGCTGTACTTTTACCTTCCCCCAACACAGTGTCTCCTCAGAGGAAAAGCCAGAGAAGGGCACAGTAATATTACTGTATTTCCTTCCAAGTCTCTAGGAATCTGTTCATCTAAGAAGTTAGGGAGGGAAGTCAGTAAACAATAGCCTTAGGATTCTGTAGCTCTTAAGTTGCTGCTGCTGGATCTTTCCCCTCTCTTCCTCAGTCAGCAGTAAACGAGGTAGTTTATGATTTCTATTCCTACTGCCTCAGCCTGCTGATTTTCCCTCCTGTCGCATGGGGGTCTTTGTAGTCTGTGTGCTTCTTAAACCAAGGCTGCTTCTTCCTCACACTGGTATCCTCAGTCCCTAACGCGTGAGTAATGGTGTAATTCATAAATGACAAGGAACTTTTCTTTAAAAAGCTGCATGAAGCTTTCAGATGATTACTGATGAAAATCTGAGATTAAATAGCAACTGTATAAATTGTGCCCTTTGGTCTACCTGTGTTGGAAAACTTACTTTGTTAAACCACTGAATGCAAAATAGGTATTTTCAAAGACAGGATAGTCTCAATCAGCCAACCCTTTAACTATACTTTCTGAAACTTAAACTCAAAGGAAATTTAAGAATTGGAGCATTTCTTGCATCTTAAAATCCAGGCAGGGGTTAAGTATTGATCTTGTTGGAAACAGATTATATTGAACAGATAGCCATACCCATTTATGCAATTAATTTTTGTTGAATGTGAATTTAAAAGAATGCTTTAAAATATTCTGTCACAAGATTGAGTAAAGCAAATAAACTTTAAGAAATGATTTTATAGTTAAATTAATATTTATGAATATTTAACCAAAGGTGGGCATAGTGGTCATCCCAGCGCTTGGGAATCTGAGGCAAGAGAATTATGATTTTGAGGCCAGCCTGAGTGCCAGTGTGAAACCATGTAAACTAGTTAGGAGAAAAGTTGTACAGTCTTTCCTTCTCAGCATTGATGGCTGTTGAGAGCAGGTCTGGGGGTTTCAATAGGACACACGAGACCTTACTGGAGCAGCAGCAGTAAGGGACCTGTAAGGGAAAGCCTTCTAAATGTTCCCCTCACTTTAAATAAAGGCGCTGTTGGTGTTGTTTTAGATACTTTATGAAATTTCTTTCTAGCCATCAATAATAACTCATGAATGAGTTGGGTTCCAAAAGGCTGTTTCTGGCTGTTTTGACTAGAAATGAGAAGGGTAAAAAAATCCTTGCAGTTTCTAGATGCATAACTGCTGAAAAGAGGATCACTCCATGTCCTAAAGCTCTGAAACAGGTATTCCCCCTTCTGGCTAGCAGGTGTTCATTTGGGGATACTGAAAATCTTTTGAAATGGTTAGTCTCCTGACCATCTTTCTAGGTGTTTCAGCTATTCCTTTGCTTTTGGAATACTGGACACATTTAGAGATTTGAACCTGGAGAGCTGGTTATCTGAGGAGGTTAACAAATACTACCACTACTTTGACCCCTTGTAACCTTTAACTTTGCAAGTGTTTTGTGTTTTCATTAAGTAACTTCAGGAACATTTATCATTGATGCTTGATTTTCTTGGTATGCACTGAATTCTCTGTCCATTTTGTCAGTGGCTTTTCTTTGCCTGCCACACAGAGGAGCAGCGTATTTTAAATGTTCTAGTGACTGACTGTGTCACTACCCCTCTCTCATTCATAATCATTGCTCTAACCAAATGATTCATCCTGCATTGATGTGTGCCTTTCACTTCTTTAAATTTGGCTAAATTATTCTTATTTTCACTTTCTTCATGGTTAATCATCTTCATATCACTTTCTACATTCTGTGAATGATCAGGCACTAGTTTGTATATAAACTGAAGCTTAGGTACCCAGGCAGCAGAATATTTTTAAAGCTGGCAACAGAGGGTAATTATCCTTTAAGAAAATGACTGGCCACCTCAGTGGAGAGCAGAATTGGTCAGCTTGGACTCAGAAGATGCTTTGTTTACATTTGCATTTGCTGGAGAGTTAAAAGCGCTCAAGTAATGCTTGGACATCTATAACTGCACTTGGACATCTATAACTGCACTTGGACAGCTATAACTGGACTGCTAGTTTTCAGTTACAGTTCTCTGCTATTCAGCAATATCAGTGAGAAGCTTATGATTTATGTTTGCTACATTGCATATCGTAAAAACAATAATGGCTCTTATCTCCTTTGCTATTCTCCAAATACTGATCTCTACCTGAATTTATGACGTATGTGACATTGATTATTTTCTCCAGGATATCTCTTGTTCGCTCACTCCCTCACCCCCTCTTTCCCCTCCTTCTCTCCCTCCCTCCTTATCTCTGTCTTTCCCTCCCCCAACCCTTCTTTATATTTTTAGCTCCTCCCTCTACAAACAGGGAAGTAAAGCTTGAATTACTCTCCTTGATGTTTATATTGTAACTTTCCAACAATCTCGTTACCTTTTTCTATTCCTTTATTTGGTTCTCATAAATTAGTTTGAAGTTCATTTTCAGATACTTGATTTGTAGTAATATGTCAATTCGTTTGAGTAATATGTCAAATGAAGTTCAATATATTATGTTACTAACTCTAGTCTCTATGAATTCCTAATGAGAAATATTTTACTCATGTAGTTGGAATACCTATGAAAACATTGAAAATCACATGATTATTATTTACTCACATTGTTTGGAGTAAATCCATTTTCTGTATTGCCTTCAGCATTATGAGTTTTACGTTTCAATTGCAGTTTCAGTAAGCTGACTAAAAAGCTCCAAAGACTTTCGGAGCATGGGCTATTGTTCAGAGGCAGTCTTTCTTCTAGAGCAATATTCATGCATTTGACCTTAGGTCTAAAAAAGAGATTTGTCATTTGCCCTTCTAAGCTATTCATTAGTATGTTTGAACTCTGCCCTGCTAGTTGCTCTAAACTGAGACATGTTGGATCACTTCAGGCTTAGAAACTAAGTAAACAGTTCTAAGGATGTTGATGATAGTTGAAGAGCTAATGCATGGCAGAATGCTGCTACCTCTAATGCAAACAGACAGGCCTACAAATCACGGCTAATACCGTTCTCATAGCTTTATTCCCATGACTTTTAGAGCTCCATTGTCATATTTGTCTTACACACTGAGCATACACATGATGAGAAAAGGATGGAGATATAGCTCAGAATCTTATTTCTAAGGGCATGGAAGAGTAGCTTAGTACTTATTGTGGGAGACTACAGTGTAAGTCCAACTTATAAAAGAGAACATGTCTGTCTACACATAGTTTGATATATACCAGTTCTTTTTCAGTTTTGTTCCTGCTTAGCAGAAAACAAGTGAGAGTGGAGTAGGAGGGCCTTCAACACTCAAGCCTGATGCCCTTAACTAATCTTCATCTTACACAGATAGTCAGTTCTCCCTTGTGTAACATGGGAAATGCTGCTGTAACTTCTCATTGTTGTTCAGAAGATTAAACATCATAGAACAATTGAAAGTTGTTTTCATCTAAAAAAACATTAAAATTAGGTCATGTCAAAACCCTTCTGTCTGTTGTTCATTCTTACTCATGCCTATGCAGCCCAAAATGTTTGCAGCCAGCCAAGTTTAATTTCTTGCGGTGCTAAAGCCAGTCTAGCAGCAGAGGTACAAAGTGGCAGAGTCTTTGCTGCATCAGTTGTGTTTAGCTGACCCAGCTCCTACCTGTCTTACACCACCACACCTCAGATGAGAGCAGTTCAGTGCCTTGGATGAAAGAGAGCCAGCATTCACCAGCATAGCTTAGCTTCCATCTTAGTGCCCTCTTTCTCTCTCTGTCTGTCTCTATCTCTCTCTGTCTGTTTCTCCCTTTCTCTCTCCTCTCTCTCTCTCCTCTCTAACTCTCTCTCTCTCACCATGTGACTTTGAGGAAATGATTACAGCTCTCTGAGCCTTAGTTTCTTTACATACAATATGAGGGCAGTGCCACCTTCTTCAGAGTATCTGATGGGATTTGTCTGGAAAAGCAACACTGGACCAAAATGAGTTCGCTAAGAGGCACAGTGCTTTGAAACAGTAAGGAATGAAATGTGGAGTTTGGGCTCCATCTTTCTCATGAGTTTCTAAGATGTTACCTTACTTTTCATGATTATTACATGCACATTTGTAGAAACAGATGTTGAGATGTTCTCAACAGATTGTGGTCTATAACAATCATCACCTTTCCCCTGTTTGTGATCAAGCTGGTGATATTCAGGGTAATCTCATTTTCTGAAGTCGTGTTCTCCTTTCTCATCCTCTCGCTTCACCTGTTTGGTCTTCAGCACAGATGGATACTGTTTCACGATGGTAGAAGAGGATGATTCTGGAATGCCTGTTGTTACCTCTGGATGTCTAGGACTAGAAGGGTCAGATTTTCAATGTCGGGTAAGGAAAATCATTGATTTTACATTAAGATGCATTGGCTAGATTTTCAGTAAAATTCAAGCAAGATAAAATAGTCACTTTTCAAGTCGGGTGTGGTGGTATATACCCTTAATCCCAGCACTCAGGAGGCAGAGGCAGGTGGATCTCTGATGGAGACCAGTCTGGTCTACATAGAAAGTTTCAGGCCAGCTGTGACTAGGGAGACTCTATCTCAAAAATACCAACATAATAATAATTTTTATTTTTCATGGCTATTTTATATTTAATAATTTGGAAAATAATAGAAAATTCTTACTGGGCCAATTCATTTTTAAACAAAATATTTTTGTCTTTGCTGTTAACTTTTTGCTTTGTGTCCCATTAGATCATCTTTTTTTAAAATCCAGTTTAGCTAACTGGTTAAACCAAGACCACATTCTTTATTGGCTGCATGTATTCTGATTTTTAAAAGTGAAGTAACAATTTCATTGAAATGAAAATGTTGCAACAATACACGATAATTTGAAATAAATTACTTGATGGAAAGTAATATCTTCAAGACTTAGAATAAAAGTATTAGATTTTTGAATGAGTCCTCTAGTGAGTATCTGTTAAATTATAGATGATGACATTGAAATTTAGAGGAACCCACTAATAACTGTTTGGGTTCAATTTTAGGACACTCCCATTCCTCATCAAAGAAGATCCATCGAATGCTGCACAGAAAGGAATGAGTGTAACAAAGACCTGCACCCCACCCTGCCTCCCCTGAAAAACAGAGGTAAGGCCAAGAAGGGGCAAAGGCTTAACGAATGTGACACTTGGATCAGTTTCTCTTTTGCAAATTCATCAGTAAAATGACTATTTTCACCTTTAACTTGTGGCATTGCCCACTACTGGAGTAAAGGGCTGAGGCAAGATGACATCATGTATCAGTTATTCAATGAGATGTGCAAGTCGTTCTGGGAATAGTGGTGGTATAGAGCCTCATTCTGTGATCCTTGTTGCTTTGGCCTCTCCATATCTCCTTCCAGAAAGTTCCAGTTCCTAGAGCTTACAGTTGCTGCTGAAAGGTGGAGAAAGGAAGTAGTATTTCGTACCTACTCCTAAAAGTTATACCGGACTGACATTTAACTACATAAATGCTTTAGATTGTATTCCTTTTAAAAATAAGGACATTGAAAAAATGAGGACATTACAAAGGAATAAATAAAATTTCATTTGTTCTATAGCATTTTATTTTATTCTCACAATTAACTGATTTTTAGTCACATCACAACATGGGGGAATTTATGTGAAAGCTTTCAAAGTTTATGTAATTGAATGTTACTAGTTTAAAAAGTCATATTGGGGCTGGAGAGAAGACTCAGTGGTTCAGAGCACTGGCTGCTCTTGCAGAGGACCTAGATTTGGTTCCTAGCACTCATGTGGCAGCTAATAACTATTTATAACTCCAGTTCCAGGGGATCTGATTGCCTCTTCTGGCCTCCACAGGCATTGTATGCATGGGTGTACTACCATACACATAAAATAATAATTCCTTCACTATTGGCACTATTTTTGAGAAAATATTTTAAACAAAACTTGGAATTTCATAAAATAGATTCCTGAGATAGCTAGTAGAGCTAGATTATGAAGTATGCTTAGTTACTTTTCTGAAGCAAGGGTTTATTCTAGCTTATAGTACCGGAAGGCCTGCGGTCCAGCACGACAGGAAAGGCGTGGCAATGGGACCGTGACACCTGCTGATATTATATATAATATAATGAGTGCCTGGGTAGCTCCGTCTTGCACAGCAGGATATCACGATTGTCTCAGAGAATGGACACTTGAACAATGTTTTAAGGATGAATAGGAACTTCCTAAGTCAATGAGACAAGGAAGTTAGGTGGAAATTAAGATGCTAAATCTTACCTTAATTAACCCACCTGAGCGTCACAACCCCATGAAGTATTTGGGATTGATATTCCCATTTAAAGATGACTGAATTACAGCCTAAAAGGCTAATTAACTTTATCAAATTTGTACAACCTGTGAACAACACAATTTGCTTTGTTTATTCCCTTGAAGCACCAGCAAAGCAGAAAAACCTACGATAACATTCTTTCTTCTTAAAGAGGATAAGCAAAAAGTAATTAGATCAAATGCAGCATTTTCACAGACAAAATATGATGTAGGAAGACCAATGACTTAACAGCTGGTGGGAAGGGTAGAAAGAGTTGTTGGTTTTGATGTGAACAGGATGGAAAGAGATCTTCCCCCAAACAATTCCTTCTTATAAGAACTTATTTTTCTTTACTGAATATTTAAAGAAGTGATAACTTGTGTTAAAATCAATTAAGTAGAAACACGTGCCTTCTTAAGTACAATACTCTGATGAGGATTTAAAATGTGGAATTTCTATAATTAAAAAATATGTTTATGTTTAGATATGGAAATTATTCATACATACTATGTATGGATGTCATCAAAAATTAATCAGAAATGATATTCTGTTTTGGAATATAGGAATTTCATTATAGTTAAGTAAATTATAATACATGGGTTCCAGAGTTGAAAATTTATTTTATTCCTTTTCTTATTCATTTTAAAAGCTGTAGTTTGAGAAGCTCATAGGTTTCTTTAAAAATTCCATTGCCCAGATATTGCTGATTACAATATAAACTCTATAGGTGACAGATACACACCGAAACAGCTGTGTTCGCCTCAGCAAACTGACTGTATGGAAATGTCTAATACGCAGAGGGGAGCCCTAGAATTTACCTCCTGTGATGTACCTTTATGCTCATAGCTTATAGATCAACACATAAGCCTGAGCTAAATTTCCTGCCAGAAAGTAGAACTAACATTTGTGCAAATGTTCATTCCCTGTTTTGAATTTTCAGAATAAATTTGTATATAGGACACATGAAAGGAATACAGAAGTAATTAATTTTCTCATTTACATTGTATACAATAATCTTGACACAATGCTTTTGTCTTTATCTCCTTTGTTATCAGACAATATAATTCTATTATGTAAGAGAATGAGTAGACTATTGCATTTTATTTATTTATTTATCTGTTTTAAAAAAATTTTTTTGGTCTTTTTGAGACAGAGTCTCCCTGTAGCCCCAGCTGCCCTGGAACTCACTATGTAGACCAGGCTGGCCTTGAACTCACAGAGATCCACCTGCTTCTGCCTCCTGAGTGCTGGGATTAAAGGTGTGTACCACCATGCCTGGCTTGTTTTTTTAAATTAAAAAAAAATATATTTTATTTATTATTTTTATTTTATGTGCATGAGTGTTATGCCTGCATAAATGAAAGTGCACCTGTGTCATGCAATGCCCGCAGAGGACAGAAGAAGCTGTTGGATCCCTTGGAACTAGAGTTACAGACAGTTGCTAGCTGCAATGTGGGTTCTGGGATTTGAACCTGGGTCCTCTGCAAGAACAACCAGTGTTCTTAACCACTGAGCCATCTCTCCAGCCCCCTTATTTATATATTTTTATTTTATGTGTATAAGTGTTTGCCTGCATGAATGCATGGAATGCATGTAGAGGCCAGAAGAGGGCATTGGATCCCCTGGAACTGGAGCTACTGATGGTTGTTAGCCACCATGTGTGTGCTGAGAACTGAACCTCGGTCCTCTATAAGAGTAGTCAGTGTTCTTAGCCAGAGAGCTATCTTTCCATCCCCACATTTTTGTTCTAGTTGTTGACTATAAATGGAAAGCCCAACATATGATCAGAGTTAATGTATATTTCTATTTGAGGGTTAAAATTCTCTGACAAAAATTTACTTTTCAATTTTTAAGCCTCTATTAATAGAAAGCTGTTCCTCATTTATCTGTAATTATAATAATTAAGACACATATGAAGATATCTTTGGGCATGTGGTTATTTCTAATATACTTTATTGATATATATTTTCTTTTATTTCATATTGCAATTATGAATAGACTTTTAGCCTTACAAAACAGTCCTTCTGTTATAAACAGTTGCTAGCCACCACTCTGCTGCTCCAAGCAGACCTGGTGTGATAGAATTCAGTTTTGTTATTGAACCACTGATGACCCTTACTTGCTTCTCAGAGTGATCACCACTTCCCTGGAGACCGTCTTGGTTGGCTCCAGGTCCCTGATCAGTGGAAGGGACAATACAGGCAGAATGTGCAATCCTGGGAGGGCCTTAAGTGCTTCTCTATCTTAACTGGCACCTGGAAGTTTCTTGCTTCCAAGGATGTTTATGTTATTAATAATCTGAGTGCAGATAATGACCATTTAAAACAAGATCAGCATGACCAACAGTATCACTTATTCATTAGCCAGGTCAAGGGAATAGCAGATTTGACTGCAAGGGCTAGGGTAATTGGGGCAACGAAAATGAAAATAGAAAATAAGGTTATCCTTAAATAAAGTGCTTGTTGATGAAGAAATCCCCCCCCCCAGATCCTTGTGATCTTGTTCCTGTCTTAAGTCAGAAATAAACGAGTAAAAATATACTGGTTTTGCAGTTCACAGTGTATTCCATGCTCTGCATTTACATTAAAAGAGAAACTGAGAATTTCAGCAAATTTATAAATGTTCTGGGTTCATATACTAGAGAATTGTTTGATTGTGTGTTTAGATCTGGTTTTAGTAGAGAAGCATTCTTTGGATTCCCCAAAAGCAGTACAGTTGACTTTAAAATTGGAAATGGTCTACAGCCATACCACCCTGAATGCCCAGGATCTTGTCTGATCTCAGAAGCTAAGCAGAGTCAGGCCTGGTTAGTACTTGGATGGGAGACTGCCTGGGAATACCAGGTGCCGTAAGCATCTCCCTCCCCCTCTTTCCCTTTGGGCTGGAGAGATGGCTCAGCTGTTAAGAGCAGAGGACCCCGAATCAATTCCCAGCACCGACATGGCAGCTTAACTACAGTTCTAGGGGAATCCAAAGCCCTCTTCTAACCTCTGCAGCATTGTACAACACGGGTGCACTCACCTACATGCAGGCAATACACTCATACACATAAAATTAAAAAAAAATAAGATATTTTTGACAATTGGAAATTGAGCATAAGATGTTTCCAGTGGCAGGCTTCATATGTGTATGTAGGACAGGGAAGAAAACACTTAATTCATTGCCTAACCTGCTTAATTTTAATTGTTTTTAAGATTCATATGCTACACATTTCAATCAATGTATGTGATAATTATTTGTGATTCCTGTTTATGATGCTTTTTTGGATGATACTTCAGTAGTTCAAGTTCTTATACTCCATTTTCCTGGACCATTTGCCACAATTTTGAAATGAATGATAAAGAACTGCCTGTTTTGATGATTTCATTCGGTCTTTTGAGATGTATTCTGCTGTCATTCATCTTTTACAGGGAGTATCAATCATAAGTAATTGTTAAATATGCCTATTTTAGACAGTAATCGTAACATTGAGTGTTATGTGGGTTGTTAAGAAATAAATGCAAAGCTCTGTAGGTTGTAGTTAGCAGTAAAGAATCCAAATATTTTTATGAAATATCACAAAGTAAGTTAATTTTCAACAAATATGGCAGTTGTGCTATTATTTGTAAGACAATGTTCTTAGAAAATACACTCAGAATTATTTATAAATGGATACAGCATTGTTTTACAACTTCAAATGATCTAAAAATGCTACATGCATACAAAATGAGTAAATAAGAGATATGTGAATGCAAACATCTATATATGTCTCTGCATTGGAAATTATATATGGAGAGTTCTGAGCCCAAGACTCATAATACACATGGTAAAAGTTTAATAATGAGCAATCTGGATGAAAGGCACATTGGGGTTCTTTATTCAAGTTTTTCTTTAAGGCTAAGTTTATTAAAAAGTAAAACATTTATATTAATATGAATTAGAAGTTTTTGCAATCTTTTTAAAGGATATTTGATATGTATGATTTGAAATATCTATGCTATGAACTAATAATTTTACATATAAGAATCTCAGTGAAAGAAGTAGATACTACCATAAGATAAATCTGTGTTAATTAATAATTTTATGTATTGTAGTAAATAAGCATTGTAACATAATCTTTAAAATCTCTTAAATATTTGGCAATAGAGGATTGACTTTTGTGCTGGACAGCTTTAGTGTCAACTTAACACACCTGGGTTGAGGGAACCTCAGTTGGGGAATTGCCTCTATTGGACGGCCCTGTGGCCATGTCTGAGGGGCATCTTCTTGATGAGTGATGTGGGAGGGCCCAGCCCACTGTGGGTGGTGCCACCCCTGGGCAGGTGGGCCTGTGTTGCATAAGAAAGCAGGCTGAGCAGGGGCTAGGGGAGCAAGCCTGTAAGCAGCATTCCTCCATGGCCTGTGCTCCAGCTCCTGCCTCCAGGTTCCTGCCCTGAGTTCCTACCTTGGGCTCCCTGATGAACTGCATGTGACCTGGGAGATGTAAGCAAAATAAACCCTTTCCTCCCCAAGTTGGTAGTGGTCAGAGTATTTTGTCAGAGCAATGAAGAAACAAACTAGGACAACTTTCTAATTAGTGTTTCTATGTAGTTTTTGAAAATCACATTGCAGAGAAACTATCTGTTGTTTTAGAAAATGTTCACAATATTAGAAATAGATTACTGTCTGTAATCTCAGCCCTTGCTCAGCTGAAGCAGGATGATCTCAAGTTTGAACCAGCCTGGTTCATAGAGTAAGACTCTTTCTTAATAAAATAAAAAGAAGAAAAAAGAAAATAATCATACAATAATATGTTGTAATACCTTTTTTAAAATACTTTGTGGATATGCCGTTGTCTTCGTTGAAGTGTTACTGTGATGGTGTATGCTCAGCTTTTGTCAGTAATTTTTCCTGAGTGATAAGCACGTGGTGATTCTGTTCATTTACTTTAGTAAGTGGGTGGTTTTTTAGTTGTTCATGGAGCATGACATGAAAAAAGGCACATTTGGATATGATAAGTTCCCCTTCCAAAATCTGAGCATTGCTATGTATATATATATGTATATATATATATATATACACAGTGGGTAGTTTTTTACACTTAGTCGGAAAGTTTTTTTTTTTACCAGCCAGAGTTGCAATTTATAATGTTACCTTTTAAGATAAATAACAGCAATCACTCCTCTCAAGTGTTGGCAGCACCTTTAAGAATGATGCTAATTCTGTTACTATGTGCGTGTGCATGGTTTGAAGTGGTTTTTCTTTGCACGTGTTCTAGAGACCACCTGCATAAAAATCATCTAGAATAACTGTTTTAAAAAAGAAGACATTTTGAATGAATATTTCTGGGCTTAAAAATCACAAAATATAGATGTGTATCAAAGGTCTCCTAAGTCGTTATAATTCGTATGAAGTTTGAGAAAGCTTTCTTTAAGCAAATCTGATTTGTCAAGAACTTGAGTTATTATAAACTGAACATTTAAATATTTGTTGTTTACAAGCATGACATATGGTTTGGATTGAGCATGTCAATTTTTGAATATATGACTCCGTTGTGGAAAAATTAAGGTATATGTTGTGAAGAGCATCTTTGACGTGCTATATGTCAATATATTCTGTCTTTGGCAAGATTTGAGGAATCTTTTTCCTTTCTATCTATCAGAAAGTGAAGTTAGGTGCAATGAATACAGATTATTTTCTTAATCCAACAAGTATCCTAGATACTGCTTAAGAAGAGTGAGACTCTAGGATACAGATTAGCTTCCACTTGGGCTTTTGGTGCCCAGGTCCATTTACAACTGTCATATTCCTCCTGTGGGTCTATCCTTGGTCAGGGAGGAAACTTGTGCTGTGGATGTGTCTAGCTCAGTATGATTCATCCTAGCCAGGCATGCGGTTTTAAGTATATGCACTTTTTTCTTGCAGCATGTTAAAAATTTTTTCATATTTTTCATAATGTTACTCTCATTGGGGGGGAAACATTAATTCTTAATTTTAAAATGACAGTATGCAATATGTTGTGGCTCTCTCTTTCAGATTTTGTTGATGGGGCTATACACCACAAGGCCTTACTTATATCTGTGACTGTCTGTAGTTTACTCTTGGTCCTTATCATTGTGTTCTGTTACTTCAGGTAAGCTTCTCATTTGTATATGGAATTCTTCATTCATAGTAACATCCCTACACTGATACTTAATGCTGTTACCCGGTGATTTCTTTTTAAGCACAACTTTGTTTGCCCGACTTTATATTTAACTGAAAATATCTGCTACTGTTGACAAATATTTGTCCTAATAAAGTTATAAATAGATGCCTATTTCATTTCTGTTTCAAACATCAAAACTACGCAGATAAATGTTCCATTGCTAAAGAAACATGGGTGATTGGAGAATTTAGCCTAGTTACTACTTAGGCTTTATTCTAAGTAAAGACGTAACCATAACTCTGAGTGGTTTGAGGAATTCCTTATTTCCTGAACCAAAAATTCCTATAGTATTAGAACATTTTATAGATTAAACATTAAAATAAACCAAGTTCAGTGATATTAAAGTTTTTAGTTGTCTAAGAACTCATTTTCTAGTTTGAGACCTATAAAAGATTTTATATTCATCTGAGCATTTTAATATTCAACTATAACATTCTATAACTGGGTTGATTCATTGATTAAAATAAATTTATTTTTAAATTGAGATATTATAATAGGATTTTTTACTCTAATTTTATTTCATGGTGCTGTCTTGGACATTCTTATGTGAAAGAGTTTACTGTCCTATTTTTATAAAATGAAAAAAAATGCATCTCTAATTAATTAGGGAACTTAAAGGAAAAGCTTTTAGGAAATGAAAATTGTAGCTATTTAGAAATACTTACAGATTATAGTCTTCTTGGGTAGAGTAATTGAAAGACATAGAGAAGAGAAATTGTACATAATTGAATGAAAAGCATTCTGAGGGTAACAAGTGACAAACAACATTTCAGCTTGTGTTTACATGCTATATTCCAGCCTGCGGTGGTGGTTAATGTTTATCTGGAATGTGTTACTCCCTTCATTGCATTTCATTCTCTAAAATTGTCTCCCTCATCCATGCTTAGGTATAAGAGACAAGAAGCCAGACCTCGGTACAGCATTGGGCTGGAGCAGGATGAAACTTACATTCCTCCTGGAGAGTCGCTGAGAGACTTAATAGAGCAGTCTCAGAGCTCAGGAAGCGGATCAGGCCTCCCTCTGCTGGTAGGAGAAGTTGATGTCATGAATTCAAGGGAAATGTGTTCTGAAAGGGAACATCAGTAAATAAGGGGTTTCCCTTTACTGAAACAGATAGGGCAATAGGTAAGGAGAAAACTCTGCGCAGGGCTAGACAGCAGATCTTAGCTGCAGGGCTTCCTGATAACATTTGACATACTGAAGGTAAGGTGACTTTTTAAATGACCTTTAGTCATTCTGTTAAAGATCGGATTAGAAAACATTAGAGGTGGTACCATCCTCCCTCTGTTTTGCATGAGGATAGCATTACTGAACTTTGGCCTGGCTTTTGAAGGCAAAAGCAATACAACCAACTTCTGTGAAGGAAGAAGGCTGAGTTTCACCGCAGGGTTAGGTTTCAGGGCGAGGCTGATCTTCTCCATCCAGGAGAGGTTAAATTTCATAGTCAGCATTGCTTACCCCGACAAAAATACATGTCAAATCCAAGACACTCACTTGACTGAGAAGAGTATGCTTGATTCCTTTATGGACCACGAAGGAAGGTTGTTAGTATTCAGGATGGAAATAATTTTAATGGAACGTATTTTCTTTAATGAACTATTTTCATTACATTGAAATTTTTATTTGTGAGAGAGAGAAAGAAAAAAGAAGGAAGGAAGAAAATAAAGAAGGAATATGTGTATGTGTATGGATACATGCATGCCATGATGGGTGCTTGATGGTCAGAGGACAGTTTGAGAGGGTTGATTTTCTATTTCCACCATATGGATGCCAGAGATTGAATTTAGGTCCTCAGGCTTGGGTGCAGACCAAGATGGAACGATGGCTCATCGAGCCACCTTTCCTGCCCCTTGATAAACTCTTAATATTGATGTTCCTCGACTTCATGGTCTAGTTCTGTCTTGGATATCTTCTTGCTTGTTTCATAGGATAACCTTTTATTTACTTTTGTAGGTAGTAACTTAGAGACCAGGCAGAAAACAACCATGCACATACACCCATTCTAGACACTAGGATCAAAATAATAGGGCTGAAGACCTAAAAAATTAAGTTCTAAGGATAAAATTGTTTGATTTTATTTTTACAAACTTATTAATGTGTATCAATTTTGATTACTGCATTTTAAAATCTGTAGCACTGTGTTTTATTTTTAAAGAAAATACAAATTGTAAAATTCGTTTGATACTGAATTACATGTTCTATTCTTAACATTGTAACTGACTTACTAGAGTTTTCAATGTCTAACTCATCTTATTATTTTGGAGGTGCTTTTCTGTATCTGACTCCTGCTAGGATTTTAGCCTGGATATATTTTAATACCTCACACTCCCTATGGATCTTTTTTCTCTGCTTCATATGAATAGTGTTCGAATTCAGCCTGACTACTCCCCTTTCTTTCTACATCTTCTGACGTCTTCCTCTATCTCTTTCTTTAAAGATTTAAAATTTTCATTGTAGAGATCTTTGATGTCTCTGGTCAGGTTTATTCCAAGATAATTTATTATTTTTTTTGCAGCTATGGTGAATGGGAGGGTTTCCCTGTACTATTTCTCCAATTGCTTGTTATTGGTATAAAGAAAGGCTACTGATTTTTGTAGATTAATTTTGTAATCTTCCACTTTATGGAAAGTGTTGATCAGTTCTAGCAGTTTTATTTATGCTCAAGACTGATGTCATGTTTCACCTCTGACAGATTTCCAGCTATCTCAGACTGGAGCCTTTTACCTTTACTACTAATGTGGTAGTTTAAAATGATGTGCCTTATTTGGGGTGGATACTGTATTGTATTCACTTTATATCCCCAGTACAAATCAGATTCTCAGATTCATTAAACAGTATGTTCAATCATTTGTTAAAAAAAAAAACAAACAATTTCAGTTCTAGTTTTTATTGTCTTTAGGAATACTGTCTGATCTGTTCCATCCATATCTGGCTACTTAACCCACTTTTTATTGCTGTAACAAAATAATAAAAATAACTTCAAGGACAAAAGATTATTTTGGTTCATGGTTTCAGGAGTTTTAGTCAATGATCAATTGATTCCATTACTTTGGGTCTGAGGCAGGACATAATACTATGGCAATGGAAATATGGAAGAGTCTGCACACCTCAGAGCATCCAGGAAGCAGAGAAAAAGAAGGGCCTGGGAACAAGACATACCCTTCCAAAGAACACCGCTCGTGACTGATGCTTTACAAATAGTCCCAACCTTTCCCAAGTTTCATCATTCTATGAATCTATCAATGGACTCATCTAACAATGAGTCAAAACTCTGATGATCCAGTTGTTTCTCAAGAGCCCATCATCTGGCAACAAAGCCTTTAGTACATGAGCCTTCAGATTCAAACCATAACTGCTTCCATTGTAAAGTTGTTAATGTTATAAATTCTCTATATAGACTCGGTTGCCCAATTGAGATTTATCCTTCATAAATGCATTCCCATTTATACTTACAGTTGCCTGGAGAGGTTATAAAGCCAAAAGTTCCTTAATGATGGGGACCCAAGTGTGCATCTCTAGACAGTTTTGTTACTGTGCAAACATTATAGTGTTCTTATATAAACTAAAATTGCTTTGATACTATCAGCCTACTTAATCTTACAGGACTACCACTGTGATGCATACCATAGTTTACCAAAACAACAATAGGAACTAGGTGACTGAACTAGAAACGAATCCTTGTGTTAAATTTAGTGATTATAGATCCAGAAAAGTGAATCAGTTGGTATATGGAGAAACTAGATTCTAATCCAGAAAGAATTAAGATATGTTTTTCTTTGTATGTAGCATGTATGTTTTGTGTTGTATATGTATAAATTTTGTATATAACACATAGAATGTTTATATATTATTTATATGCCTACTATATCATTAATAAATAGTAAAATATCATGTAAACCATATTTATCTGACCTCGTACAGAAATGAAAAGCAATTCCTTAATTCAACATTAAACCTCTTTGTGTTTTTGAGACAGGGCCTCCCTGTAGCCCCAGCTTGTCTAGAACTCACTATGTAGACCAAGCTGCCCTTGAACTCACAGAGATATACCTGTCTCTGCCTGCTGAGTGCTGGGATTAAAGGCATGCACCACCATACCTGACCTAACATTAAGTCTCTTAAATTCTCATTTATTTAGTTAGTCAGTAATTTTGTGTGTGGTGCCATAGTGCTCATGTGCTATGGTTGTATGTGGAAGCCAGACAACAGCTCTCAGGAGTGGATTCTCCCCTGACTCTTATTAGACCTAGGGATTGAATTCAGGTCTTCAGGCCTGAGCACAAATGCCTCTACTCACTGGGCCATCTCACCTGCCCAATATTTTAGCAAACAGTGTTGTAAAAATACATGTATTGATTCAACATTATTAAGCAAAGTATTTTAAACCAAATATTTATGTGTAAAGTTGTATGTGTGTATACCTAATTCAGTGATAGAGTACAGAGCATATGTTGTAGTGACCTACTCTTTATATATGTTCACAAACTAACACATCACAGAGCAGTGTATCTAATTATTAAGTGAGACGACAATCTTGGAATAGTGGCCAACCTTGTGTTCTTTATATTTACTTGTATCTAGTGAATATGAGAAAATTGTCCCTTCAGAATTATGGTTGCAGTAACTATATATCATAGATATATGTTGGTCATCTTGTAACAGATAACTGGGGTAACCAGCTTATTCAGAGGAAATGTGTGCTTAGGCTGACTGTTTCGGGGTTTTCCTCTGTAATTGCTTGCCTTGTCACTCTGGGATTGTGGCTGCACATTGAATTGAAAGTGTATGTCAGATCAGCACTGCTCATCTCAAGGTCAGGAAGAGAGACAGGGAACAGGAAAGAATCCCATACTCTCCTTTATGGTCGCATCCCGCAGACCTAAAGATCTACCAGTAGACTTTGCTGCCTCTTAAAGTTTCTGTCAGCTCCCAACAGTGCCAAGCTGGAGACCAAAACTTTAGCACACAGACTTTTGGGGATGAGTAAGATTAAAATAATAAACAATGACTGTAAATTTTATTTATATCATCAATCTTCAGAACATTTAGGTGCAGAAAGAACAGAAACATTTGTGAATCAAATAAAAACTGAAGTCAAAATTTTTCAACGGATTTTTGTAATTTTCATACAGTATAGTCTGCAGTTTTTAAAATTTAAAATTATATTTTCAGATCTTTCAATGTTATAATCTCAAAATGAAAGTAAAACTTTAATTCCTAAGTCTGCTCTAGTGACATGTTATCACACAGATTCTTTGCTTCTTTCCTACTTAGCATCCCCAGTGCCGTCAGTGTGTTCATTAGAGAAGATATGTTATCACTAGAGAAGAAGCAGATGCAGAGCTGTTTGTGTTAGGCAATGTTCCATAGATTTACTGAGTAACACTTTGCAGCATCTGCAAATTGAATACTGTGTTTCTTTAATAAACATGGGAAGTTTCCTTCCAAGTGAATAGTCTTAACTGCTTTGTGTCTGGCTCCAGCTGGTTAGCATTCTCAATGCTTCTGTCATCTTGTCGGGGACGGAGGTATACTGAAGTCACTTCATCAACACACCTAGCTCCCACAGAGGAGGAGAGCCGCCTTGTGTGCATACTTGTTTATTTCCTTCTGACTTTATGGCTTCCTAGATTATCAGCAATTCTTTTATTGTTTAACCTTTCCTTAAGGAAAAAGACTCTTTTTTTTTTTTGCAGAAGGCTTTCATTTTGTTATTAGTGTTTTTAGTGGTTCTAAGAGTGAATGTCAGTATGTCTTGAATTGATAACATCATCCATTATGGGAAAACAGAATCATCCTAGTTTAGTGATCTTCAGAATAATGCCCCCTTCCTAATGTCTACATCCTAATCTTTAGACTCTGTTATGTTACCAGGCAGGAGGGAATTAAGACTGTTAGCTCACTAACTGCGAGATGAGATTATACTGGATGATATGGATTGGTCCCCTGTAATTGCATGTCCCTAAAAGTACAAAAACAGAAAATAAAGCTTTAAGATTTTACTTGATATATCTATAAAGAGGACTGTATTTATTCTGGAATGATTTTGTTATGCTAGTTTATTTGCAGCAGATTATCACATCTAGACCAGGCTGACCTCTACTCACAGTCTACCTATTTGGCCCCTGGAGTGCTAGGATCATGGGGTGTGCCCTGAGTCCTAGCAATACCATTTTTTAATGTATATATTCTAGATTATACAAAGTTCCTCCAATATTTAGTCCTTTCAATCATGGCATCATTGATAAAGTACAGATGGGATACATACAATATAAATAGAATCATTTAACTTCCATACCACTTAACTTGTTTCTGCATAACCTTCTCTCCAGCTTGCTGACTTCTTTTCATGAGCTCTCCTCTAGTTCTGTGCCTTGTTCTGTTTGTGAACTACTGCGTTTCACTGGGGTTTGCATGAGCTTGGTGGAGGGTCATTTGCAGGGACACAGCACTGAAAAGAACTTCTCTCCAGCTTGCTGACTTCTTTTCATGAGCTCTCCTGTTTAAACTGCTGTTTTGTATCCATTTTGCCTTTTCATTTTGACAGGTATCGCTTCCACTTCAAAGATGTAATTCTCTATGATATCTTCCTTCTTGCTTATTCTTTTCATTTCTGTTTCTTAAACATTTCCTGCAGTGATTTTTTTATTCTATAACAAAAAATTCTAATCCATAATTTGAATGGGTGGGTTGTGAATATTTGCTTTCATTTATAGTAGCCATTTCTTTTTAATTTAAGGCATTTATTATATATGATGTTTCTTTTCTCTTTTGCCTTCATTGTCTTTATCTTCCTCTGTGCTTCTCCACCTTAGACATTTCCTTGTGTGCCCAACGACTATGTCTTGCTTTAATTCATCCATGATTTGTTATGTGGTGGTAAGAGTTTGTTCAGAGTATTTAATAAGTCATTCTAGCACTGGAAGTGAAAGACAGTCTGTTCTGCCAGTTACTGTGAACCCATTCAGCATTTTTCTCTATGAAAATTGCAAGAGCTAAAATGAAATATTTATTGATTTGGAACAATATTCTGATTATGCAGAATGTATAATCCATCTACAATACATTTAAGGGATTAAAATAAATTAATAAATATGAATAGCTCATGTGTATAAAAAAATGCTGACTAAATGTATTTTACATGCATTCATTGTTTCTAATCTGAAGAAAAATGTTCAACAAATCTATAGTATCACAGATACACTAACCGAGTGTTTTGGGTTTACCAGGTCCAGAGGACGATAGCTAAGCAAATTCAGATGGTAAAGCAGATTGGAAAAGGTCGCTATGGGGAAGTTTGGATGGGAAGGTGGCGTGGCGAGAAGGTAGCTGTGAAAGTGTTCTTCACCACGGAGGAAGCCAGCTGGTTCAGAGAGACTGAGATCTATCAGACAGTCTTGATGAGGCATGAAAACATTCTTGGTGAGTCATAGTCTGCACAGTGATGCTTGGGGTTTCCTAGCATTCCTCTCCCCTCTGTTCACATCTGCATATGAACTCATCTGTCTAGACCTTTTAGGAAACCTACTTTCTTCTTGGCATGGGCCCCAGAGCCCATAAGCTTCTGACGGAAGACCTCACAGGAGGAATGACTAAGGTGCTACTGTGGACGCATGGTAGGATGGAAATGCAATACTCTCAAATGATTTTTTTTCTTCAGAAGCAGGAAGTGTATATGAAATTGGAGAATTTCTTAGGGTTCCTTAGGGATTTGGAGGAGCATATTTGAGTTTAAATGTTGTGAAAAGTTATAGGCATTTTATTTGCAGAGTTTATTTGTAACAAGAGTTAATGTTGAGAATTAATTTCCTTTTTCTTTCCTTGGGCTAGATAGGATCTGTCTGGGTCACTTGAATAGGAGTGGACCCAATCAGTGAAGTGGATGGCTCAAGACTGCATTGTAAAACATGCTTTGTTTGTAATTATTATACCATAAAAGAGTATAAAAAATACTGACAGAAAGTACTTTCAGATCCAAACTCTTATTCTTTGTCTTTCCCTCCCATTTTGATTGCATCTGCTTGATATTAGTAATTGAACACTATCATAGGCATAGTCAGAAAACTAAGCAAGATGCTCAGCCAAAGACGTCTGTGGATAAAGAATATTCGAGCATATGAATTCCTGATTCTGCCCAGAAAACACATCCGTTCTTTCTCTCTTTTGCTTTCCAGGGTTCATTGCTGCAGATATCAAAGGGACTGGATCCTGGACCCAGTTATACCTCATCACAGACTATCATGAAAATGGCTCCCTTTATGACTATCTGAAGTCCACCACCCTAGATGCAAAATCCATGCTGAAGTTAGCCTACTCCTCCGTCAGTGGCCTGTGCCACTTGCACACCGAAATCTTTAGTACTCAAGGCAAACCAGCAATTGCCCATCGGGATCTGAAAAGTAAGAACATCCTGGTGAAGAAAAATGGGACTTGCTGTATAGCAGACCTGGGCTTGGCTGTTAAATTTATTAGGTTAGTATCAAAGTGAACAAATACGCATTTTAGAATTTTTCTTTATTACTTTTTGAGATTTCTAGTTACTTTCTATAGCTCCATGCTTCTAAGATGCATAAGCCATTGAGAAACATCACATATTTCAACCTTTTTTGGAGGAAAAATATCACCAAACATTTTCATGGTAACACAGTGTGTTTCAGTTAGTCCGTTTATTTTTTTCTCATCAAAGACCTAGCAACATGGTGTAAAGGCCATATTTTATTTGTGTGTGGTACAGTAAAGATTACTTGCGTATGTGTTTTTTTAAACTATTTATTTAATAACCACATAATTAGAAGAAACATTTCATTACAACAGCATTGACATATTCAATAACAATTTCCAGAGCTAAGATGCATCTCTTGCAAAATTGGCTGTAAATTTTTAGGTTTACAGTTGAATTAATACAGTTATACAATATTATACTCAGTATAAACTCTGTAAAAAATAAAATTGAATGAGGTTTTAACCTTTAAAAAAAGATCTCCATTTCATTATTAAGATACACAGTTGTATATGTGTTTTATGAGAAGTATTATAAACTAATAAACAAATCATCTGATATTCAAAACTGTTACAATGTAGCGTAAACAGTGAATATAGCATTTGGGCACATATACAAGAGTACGTTGGCCGTGGTTTGCAAACCCTGAAGGCTCCTTCTTTATTTTCCCCCGGCACAGTGAGGAAGGTTTCAGGTCCCAGGAACTAGAACTCTATTTTACTGTCTTTCTCTTTAAATGTAGCTTTTTTGATCTAGCATATGTGTCCAACCATGGGACCCAACACAAAATTGTAAATTTATTTAAAACATTGTGAATATTTTAAAGTTTTGTTTCTATAACTCAGCTACATGGTTCTACAGTCTGAACTTTATTGGAGACGTATAAGTCTAAAAGTTAGACATGGCTAATGGGCATGATTTAATTAAAAGGTTCTTCTGTACTGAAAACAAAGTAAGATTCTTTTCTGAAGAGAGATCTTTATGTAACCACCTTTAGAATGCCTGGTCCAGAGTAGAATTTCAGATTTTGAGGTTTTGTTTTTCTTATTTAGAAGGGACTATTCGCATGGACTTCACTGATCATCACTGATCCCCAAGTCAAAAACTCTGATGCTCAAAAGGTGTTGGATTTTTAGATGATATATGTTCACCTTGTAGCACAGCCTGGGGAATCAGAGTGCAGAGGAGCTGTAAAATGTAAAGAAGTTCTCATTATAATTATAATTCCCTTCCAATTTTCTGATATACTTGTAGTTTATTCATCCTTATAAAGCAGTTGGCATTGGAGAAGTGGAGGTGTGAGGGTAATTGTGGTGGGGTGGGGTGAGAGAAGGGTGGAAGTGGGGAGAGTCTGGTGGTCATCAGCCTTCCATTCACCTGCTATGTAACACAGCCTCTAGGCTCCAAAGCCATTGCCAGCCAAGCAAATATAGTTCTACTAAATATCACCCCAGGACTCATTTCTAATAAAAAGTGTTTTTTTTAAAAAAAAAACTTCGTTCAGGCACACGCTTCTGTACATTGAACTTGATTCGGGCACATGCTTCAGTACATTGCTGGCCCAACCTGTGGATGTTTTCCAGAGTTTCTTCCATACACAGAGAAGGCACAGGGGAGAGCAAGTAAGATGAGCACAAGAAAGAACTTAGAACTTGGTATTTTCACCAGAAAAGAAAATCTAAGTTGTGTTTTAATAATGAACTCCAGATAAACAAAGGTCTTTATCAAACTTTTTGGTGTTTTAAAAACAAAGGATGTGAACTGTGTTATGAATTTAAGTTAAAAACTATGAATCTCCCCCCCAAAAAGATTATTAAATCCTGTTTCTCTTCAGACTTCATTTGTGTGAATGTAACCCTTTTCAAGTCTCCACTACAACATACATACCAGCACATACACACATACATACATACATACATACATACATACATACATACATACATAAGACGCTCCCTCTGGAGCGTCTCTAGTTACCAGCCTCTCCCCCTCTCCCCTGTTAAATTTCCCCAGAGCAGTCGGAGGGGGAATTCTTCTTTCTCAGTCTACTAATTCATCATGTCTTGCTGTGTGTCTTCTGCCCCACCGTCCTCAGGCTTCCTCTATTGAGAAACCGTTGCTCTGCGGACCGCAAGCCTTACCGCATCAGCACTCTGCTGCCCCCAGTGCCCAAATGTGTGTCTGTGGTCTGGGTTCCCTCTTCTCCCTCTCTGCTGAGTCTACTCACCTTTCATCTTTTCACTATTTCCCCCTGTGAGATATCCTGCTGTATTTACCTTTTCTCCCTAGTTCCAAGTTTGGTGGAACCATTCTACAACATGGAGTACCTAGCATCTTCCTTTGTTGCCTAGATTTTGGTTTGTGCCTTTGAAGGAATTCTAACTTCATGATACACTAGCACCTGACCAGGTTAGCCCCTCTCTATACTTTTTTTCTAACTTTATGGGCAAAGCAATGTGAAGTTACTTCCTTTTAGTCTTTCTGCTTTCTGTTTTCTAGTCTTTTCTTCATGCTGCAAGTTGAAGCATTTTCTTGAAGCATAGCTTTGGTTGTCATCATAATTTCATTGTTTCCCGTAGCCTTGGGTTAAAATGTAGTTAGGGTCCCCTGCTGTGGTGAACTCTTTCTTTTCTGACCCCGGGCTGTTCTTTAGATTCATTTCCACCACAGTGGTACCTTTTGCTACATTTATTCTGAACACATTATACTTCTTATACCCTCAAGTGGTTTTAGCACACTTTTCTTATTGCCTGTATAACTTACTTTCCTTCTCTACCCCTGATCTTCACAGCGCCTTTTTCACAGACATCTGCTGTTGTTGCTCACTCACAAGTAACCTCTGCATACTGCAGGCATGTCTCACACTGCTGCAGTGATCACTGACTACTAATTCTTCCCAGTAGAAAGCACTCCCCTTGGAGCTATAGAGCAGGTATTTTTCAAATTTGAATCTACCATGTCTTTACCATTGCTAAGGTGTTGTTTAGAATTTTTACATACTGGATTAAAGGATGATTCCATGTGGACTAACATGGAGCTAAAAAGCACCTCATTCTAGCTATAGAAAACCTACACATTCTGGACTAAATTGACCTTTTAATTTTATATTGTATAAACACTCCAATTCGTATGTTTTCTTTTGCAATTCTGACCCACTGCTTTTTCTCTTCGCATGTTCCCTGCTCACTTCTGCCTCGCTTTTGATCCTAGAATCCCTGGCTCAGAACTACTTTTCCATACACCTTTACTCAATCTCAGAAGTGCTTCTAAGACAGTGCATTTATCTACATCTAGGAATAAAGACACTATCTTCTGTGTCCTGTAGTTATTTCTGGAGTCTGCCTAGAATTATCCTTACTTTGGAACATGCCCACCTCTTCTACTAGTAATACATATCTTGAGAGTGGAAGCCACACCAAATTTAGCAGTACATTTTCTTTTTGATAGAACATAGGGAATTATACATTATAAATATTTCAGCTGTTTTAAATCATCAAATGAAGGAAACGCAAAGTAATTGAGACTATCCCTTTTTATGGATCCTAAAACAAAGTTTCTATTTCTGAAATTTAGTTCTACTTAAGGGGAATGAATTAAATGGCCCCTCAAATTCCAAGTGGACCTTGACTCTAGGAAGTGGAAGAGACTCTTAAAGGGATAATTGGAGATGTCTTTGACATACATAGTTCAGTTCATCAAGGGAGGAGAGCCATAAGGATGCTGGCTCAGACTCTGGCTACACAGGCTTGTTTCCTCTTCCACATGGAGGTTTGATTGTTAATTAATTATTATTAATCTCTGCATTTGATAATTGCAGAGACTATTTATTTATTTATTTATTTATTATTTATTTGTCTTTTTGAGACAGGGTCTCCCTGTAGCCCCAGCTGTCCTAGAACTAACTATGTAGACCAGGCTGGCCTTGAACTCACAGAGATCCTCCTGCCTCTGCCTCCGAGTGATGAAATTAAAGGTGTGCACCACCATGCCTGGCAGAGATCTTTATTTTTATTTCTTATGTGTCAGTTTGTACATCTCCATATCTTAGCCCAGATTTGTAGCCTTTCTTTTATGTGTTTCTTTGGTCTTTATCATTTCTCACATTTTGTAGTGTGTGTGTGTGTGTGTGTGTGTGTGTGTGTGTGTGTATGTGTGTGCAGCTGTCTAAAGTATTTTATTTCAGGTGGAGTCATATTAACCCAAGTTCATATGTGAACTTCCTGTGAAAACTTAATCTTCACCACAGTGTCTGCATGGCAATAAGTAGTCTTGTAGGCTTTTAGGTCATTTCTGGAAGATTCCCAGGGAACTTGAGAGTCATAGAGAGAGCTGCTTGTGCCTCAGAGAATTGCTGCTCATATAACATTTTTGCTCTGTGTTAGTTTCTTCTTACTGATGCATTTCCTGCTCAACTAAGATTTAATTCAGGTGATTCCCTGACAGACATCACCATTACCTTGGGGAAGGGGAAAGCAATGGCACCTGAAGTGCCTCTAAGGCGCTAACACAGCTTTTATGATTCACTCTGGAGGATCATGGAACCCCTCTGGTGTTTCCCTATCAGAATGAAACATGTTCTTGTAGGAAAAATAAATCCTGGATCAGGGCATCTCAGGTGTTAAGTTTTAAACAGAAAACCTAAGTGAAAAGACTGGGCTTTTGTGTTCCCACTGATGGCTACCATTGCCCAAGTACAAGAGAGGAGTGGCCCAACCCAGCAGGTACTGAATTTCCTGAGTCCTTCCGATGTCCTTTTCTGCAGTGTTTTTGCTTTTTATGCTTACTGTTGTTTCTTAAAAAGTAGCACTGATCACAGAACTGAGCTCACTAGTGATGGAGTCAACATTCCCACTCAATGTTTTTGTAGGAATATCCATCTTTTATTACGTAGGTTTTGGTGCTTAGATATTGTTACCCAGTTCTCTCGGGGTTTCTTGCACTCTCAGACAAACCATATAACATATATCTATGTGAA